CCGGGCCTCTGACGACTTTTTGGGAGAAAGGAGGCGCTCTTTAAGACGTTAGTGTGGTATTGACACCAGACCCACCGACTCCTGATGGAGATCGACCTACGCGGGGCCCTAAGTCAGGGATGGTGCCTGTGAGCGTCGCCCGGACGCGCACAGAGGTGTACATCACGGTCACGTGGGAGCTCGTTTTCACGAAGCTTCGTGCTCGGCACCACCCGCCGAGTGACTGATGCGGTAGGTCTGCAGTGGATTCTGGGCCTCTGCATGCAAGTAAATTAGCACCGCACAAGAATGATTTAGAGGCCGGGCCGGGGATGAGAAGCAGCACAGCCATGAGCGAGGACACAGCTGAAGACCACGTGCCCACCCCAGCCCTTGCCGCCCGTGTTCGAGCGGACCCTAGGATGTGGGACTTCCGCCACAACACAGGTGCTTTATGTGCAGACTCAAAAATAGTCCCTGTGTCTGCATTTTCGGCCTCTCTGACAGCCTCAACTGCTAAATACAGAAACAGGAAACCTCACCGCAGCTAGGACAGTAGCTCAAGCCCAGACAAACTGAATCAATCGCGAGGGTTTTCTTTGCCTTCTAACCACAAAGCTCTGGCCCTTAGTCCATGAAGACACAATCCCACCTTCAACGCGCTGACCTATGATACGCATAATGGATACGACAAAATTTAAAGTCATTTTAGATGTAAAGTTTTGTATGTAATTTAGAGATATCTAAATCTGATCATCTGGCTTAAGGTTTTCTGACTATATAAGCAAGACTTTTCATATTTGAGTCATTCTGTTTTTCATGGACAGAAGGCATAAGTGATTCTGTTCTAAGCCCATTTAGATGTATCAGTAAATATCAGTTACCTTCAACATATAATGTGCAAATAACTATAACTTCCCTCAGCATATATTTATCTAACATAAACGGGCAAAAGTCTTGGGCAGACACTTAAATGAAAATATACAAATGGAAGTAGGGATTGTCTAGAATTGGGAAAAAGGGAACTCTGGGGTGATGGAAATACTTTTTAAAATCAGGGTGTTGATTACACGGTTGTCAAAGCTTCTTGAACTGAGCACTTAATATCTATGCATTTCACTGCATAACTTTTACCCCATTTTAAAAATGATTTACACACAAAAATAAGAACAAGTTGGCCTATGTATTTTGTTCCCCGTTGCCTACAGAACAGAGCTCAACTGCAGAGTACGGCACTGAAAGATTATAGGATCTGAGGCAAGCCAGCCGGCCTCATGACCTGATCCCCGCTACTCTGTCCTGTATTCCAGGCAAATGGAACACTTCTCTTTCCCCACAACATGTTTGCACTGTCTTCTCTGCCTGAATATTTTCCACAACCGCCACTTTTCTGATACACCAAGGTGGTTTTGTCCTTATCTTACTTGACTCTGTTGAGTGTTTCCTTTTTCTGGAACTACTGTTTTCTCCTGGGTTTCCCCTTATGACTCCCTCCTGTTTTTGCTTTTTCCTATTCTCCCAGCTGTTTCTTCTCCATCTCTTACAGAATCCTCTTTCTCTTCCTTTTCTCTTTATGGCGATGTTTCCAAGGTTTTATCTTCTGGTCTCTGTTCTTCTCGCTCTAAATTTTTCCTGAATAACTTCATGAAAACTATAAATCTGACTACCATTTACATGCCAACGAAGAAAAAAAACATCTGTATCTCCAAGGTCTCTCTCCTGAGACCTATCCTCAGGGGTTAGCTTCAGACCTATTTATCCAAGTACCTGTCATACATCTCCATTTGAATATTACTCAGGGTGTCATTCTCAGTCTCCACATTAACCTAATTCCCTCCATCTCTTCCGCCATCATCACTACTCTCCACCAATGTTCTGCCTCCCAAGAATTCTCTATTTAGGGCAATGGCCATCTTTCTTAAGTTGTCTAAGTCAAAAACTTGGGAGTTTATAGAGTCTCCACTATCTTCCTTGATTGCAATCTCTCCTCAAATCTATCAATGCAACTTTCCAAATCTCTCTCTTAGCAGCCCCTCTTCTCTGTGTCCCACTAATTCCTTAGTTCTAGACCTTCCTCATTTCTTACTAATACATTAGAAATCGCCTCCTACTTGACTCACATCCAACTCCATGCAGTACATACTCCATACTACCACCAGATTGATCTTCCAAAAATTCAACCATTGGCTGCCCAGAGTCCTCAGAATAATGTTTGAGTTTCTTGGCATGTCATGCAAGGTACCTCATAATGGAGCTCCCACCTACTTCTCCAGCCTCACCCTCCTCACAAGCCTCTTATGCCCCATAAATTTGAAGTCCCTAAGACATGCTGTGTGCTCTCACTTCTCTTTGTCTTTTCAAAAGACTTTTCCTCTTCTGGAAGGCCCCTTTGCCATCTGATTAGTTTTTGTTTGTTTCATTCAAGACACAGTTCTGATGTCATCTCTCCACAAAATCATTTCTTAAAACCTCTCTCCCACCACAGCTAAGGTCGATGACCTTCTTCCAGATTCCCTAAACATTCTAGCATATCACTAGCACAGAAATTGTCACACTGTGTTATCATTGCAGGTGTTATCATTGCAGGTGACTTCCCTGCCCTCTCCTGGTACCCCACGCCCTCCTCTCCCACTCCATGACTGATTTGAGGGTTGGACAGGAATTACAGGGTCATGTCTGTTATTACACGAATGCCAGCACCCACACCTCTAGCTATATCACACTCAGGAGGTGCTTGGTGGGTGAATAGCCATTCCCTGCTCTACCAGAAAGACCCCAACTACAAGGCATCTTTCTAAGAATCCATTCCCAATACCCCTAGTCATTACTTACTTCTACTTCTGTATTCCCGAGACTTTTAATTGTAGTAATCATAGTGGCTAATAGTTACATATCACACTTTATATATGTGTGTATATATACATATATGTGGGTATATATATATATATATAGGATTTGGAGTTTCACTCTGTCACCCAGGCTGGAGTGCAGTGACATGCTCACTGCCACCCCGACGTCAACCTGCTGGGCCCAGCGATCCTTCTGCCTCAGCTTTCCAAGTAGCCGGAATTACAGGTGCACACTACCATGCCCAGCTAATTTTTTGATGTATTGTAGAGATGAGGTCTCAACCTGTTACCTAGGCTGATGGAGAACCCGCAGGCTCAGGCAATCCTCTCGCCTTGGCCTCCCAAAGTGCTGGAATTACAGGCTTGAACCACCAAGCCCAGCCTCACATTTATAAACCAGAAATGGTAATATCTTACATGTATTATTGCACTTCATCCTCAAGACAACTCATAGTGAGATATTATTACCTTTTCAATCTACGGACAAGGAAACTAAAGATGGGAGAGGTTCAGTATTCCTATATTACATGATAAAAAAGTCAGAGTTGTCTTGATTCAAAGTCTGTGCACTCTGCTCTATTACATCCAAAACAGCAAAAAAGAAGAATATGCAATGCTCTACCTAGTTCACTGCATGTAGAATCTCTGTACTCCCAGTGTCTAGAACATTGTGTGAATGGATACATATGTAGTTTTTTATGAGCTCCCTAAGAATTGGGATTTTCATTCTATGAAAAAGATACCTGCACATGCATGTTTATTGCAGCATTACTCACAATAGCAAAAACATGGAACCAACCATGCTGCCCGTCGAAAGAGGACCGAATTAAAAAAACCGTGGTACATATG